TATATAATATAAAATAAATATTATAATAAATGTCATATGAAAAAACACTTCAAGTGCACAGCCTTTTCCTAAACTTTTACAAAAAATAAGGCTGTGCACTTGAAAGACATCTTTGTCTAGAGATGAGATCTGAGGTTTTAAATGAGAGAGGATCAGGGCACTAATGAGACACTCTGGAGCTCAAAAAAGATCACGGTAAACCAGTTAGTAGCTGCTGCATTAAATACATGCCTGGCAATAGATATGCCTCGGTTCTGACCAACAATGGAGATCGCTATGGTAACACCGCTGTTTACTCCAAGTCGTTTGTGTTCATGATAGCATGCAGTGCGATAGAATCAGTAGGGATGCAAATAAAAGAACAGCCTCTCCTCTGGGATTCCTCCCACCACTCTAGAGACAGGCACTCATGTTAAGAAAAATAGATGTAACAAACAGCAAACCTCAATGATTTGATGCGTCCAAACGTGTTTCAGCGAAACACTCTTATTTCAGGCCCTCGAAGACGCCTGTCAGCGCTGAATAATAAACAAACGGTGGAGATGATCACAGCAAAAGCTTGTTTTCATTAAGAGGTCCTGTTTATTCTAATGCTGACAATATTTTTTTACTGGAAATAGTGCAGAGCTGGAATTGCCGTAATGCTTTTACTGTATAAGGAGAAAACCTTTGCGAAAAAGTCAAGAAACTATTCTAAACAGATTCGACAATAAGAGTGAGAGAGCTGCTTCTTTTTATCTACTCGCACATCAAAGGCCCCACAAGCCCTGTTTCTTTTCAGAACCGTGAGGCGGAGGACGCCGGGAATGACAGAGAAGCTGCCTTGAACGTGGCTCTCAGGGCCCTGCTTGTCTCGTTTAATGCGGAGCTTCTGTTTATGTGCCGGAATGATATCATGCCCAATCAAGTGGTGTTTCAAATCCTAATAATGCCGTTGGAAGTGCATTATTTGTACGAACGTGTGCTGACTGCAATCAGCCCACCAGAGTGAGGAAGTGGCTGTTAATGACTGCTTAGATTGGCGTGTCCTGTTCTTCCCTCTCTCCGTCTCTCTCTCTCTCGCTCGCTCTCGGTCTGACAGGAAGCATATGCACGCTAAAGCTGGGAAATGCAGACTCCTTCTCACCTGGCATCCACTGCAGCGATTGTTTTAGAAACAAACTCTGTTTACTTGGCTAAACCCGAATCCCGCGACTTAGCGGTGATCTAACACTCTGATCTGCCCTGTCTGATTTCATACAGACTTTCAAAATACGTTGACTAATGCAAGGACAAAACCCTGATAATACGGAGCATTCATTAATGCAACAGGCCTGGACAGCATTGGATTATTTTTCATTATTTAAAGATCCTCCTGTCAGAGCAGTTTCTTTCTGTCCTGACTTTTAAAAGCTTTATTCTGATATTATAATCCTTTTGACAGATTAACTGACCTGGAATGTGTATAAATGAACTTGTCTTTTTTGTTTTTTCCAGGTGGAGGATCTAGGACCTCTGACTGTCAGGGGATTCTGCAAATGCAAACTTAAAGTAAATGTCAAATAAACCAAGAAATGAGAACGGTTACCTGTTCCTGGCCCTTCCTTAGTGCTTTATTTTGCATATTTACAATGGAGTTTCTCATTATTTGCAGCAACTGCAACAAGATGGGGCACTCCGAGAGGCAGATTCCCAGGTATTTCCTCACCTACTAAAACTCGGGCACACATACACATGCTGAAATAATTCCCTCTATTTTGCTAATTTACAGCTTGCAGGAAGTAGTTTGTTTCTCCCATCGCTCTGGGGGAAGGGGAGCGGAAAAGTCAGCATCGGACCTGTTCTCCACACACCCTTGTTCCACAGCATCTGGCCTCTCTTTCGATTTTATTAAACAAGAATAACAATAAAGCAGGTCTGCGACCCCGTCTACGGAATTTGCCGTATTTTTTCCAACGGTCTGTGCTGATGCTCCGAATTTCCATTTTCTGCATGCATATTTAATTGAGTTTTGTCCCAGTGGTGCGGAAATGATTTGTTTTTTGCTCTCTGTTCACTTGACTCCTCTTCGGAGTCGGTAACCCTGATTAAGACGTTCACGTTAATTTCCCAGCGCACACCTTTTTTTGTGCATTAATGGTTCTGATCGTCTAATTAAAACTTCTCAGCTTCGCTGCTGATCACCGCTCGTTGTGCCTCTGACCTGAAGTTTTAATTGCCGCGTCAGAGGCGATAATAATAATTTCTGGGTTCTGATTATTAAAAACAATGCCATTCCCAACTGCTGCTTAAAGCGGGAAAAGATGGAAGGAGAGGCTGAGGTGAAGCATAAAGAAAAAGGAGGTGAAAGAAAGAGAATTAGAAGGTAAAAGATGGTTATTTGAGCTTTGAAACAGGTTTGTTTGGTATCACAGTATGAGCGGGGAGGATCGGTGCTCACAGGGCAGGTTTACCTGGTTTGCAGTGTACTGTAAATGAGGGCAAATATGACAAAACAAATAAAAACTTCTCAGAACTGCACAAGGTTAAAAGAAACCCTGAATCCCACATCTCTATGATACTTATTTTAATAGTTTTGCTTTTGGTCTTAGTCTTTTTATATGACACCTCAGCGGTTTCTGATGTCTAAAAGCAAGTT